ATACCAACCACTGGCCACAAAATCAAGGGAACGGGTAGCGCTCCAAAGCAGAGAACAAATTTTAAAACAGGTCCTAGTTGTTTGGCACTGTTAATTCAGGGTAAAGAATGTCAGATCAATTATGGGGGTAAAGGATGGAAGAGAATGGGAGTGGCAAAGATACAAAGCAGATAGAAAAAATGACTTAGCAAGACGACTTCGCAGGCACACCTCAGAATGCTATAATACGACCAGATAAAGTGCATTGGCCAAAGGCCTAATATGATACCAGAGATTCCAGCAACCATTAGGAGACATATCAGAGGGCACAGAATGATACCTGAAATAATAGTCTGGTTAATATACATTAATTTTGAAACCAACAAGGCTCATACGTTTCATTCGGTCAGTATAACAGTCAATCAAACTTAAACATACAATTCAGAAATTGGCATCATTGTAGAGATATGCTAATGATTCATTATCCAGACCACATATATCATATCAAGATAGAAAATCGGGAAACCCGGTAATATTAACAAGGGAAAAGCAGCTTTTGTATAAATCTCCAATGGTATATTCCTCCAATCCACCATTCCTTTCTCCGTACTAAGTACTCAATAGTGTTTTCAGCAACAGCATTCCTTCTTCACTTGTTGATTCGAGTATCCTGTCATAGTCTTCGCAGTGCTATACCAAACCCAACAAACTTTCTTTGGATTGTATTCTCACGTACACCCATCCATTCATCCAAGTTCTTTCAGCTTTTCGAAAACTAAGTGGTCTGCAGACTGTTTTCAGTTGGTCCCTCTTTCTTTGTGTAGTCTACTTGCCTCCTCTTCCTCCAGGTTATGCTCTCTTGAAAACTCTCCCTACCAACAAAAGGGTCCTTGTCCTGTTTAGTTAATGTGAGATCTCACATCGGTTGTAGAGAAGAACAAGGTCTTCCTTATAAGGATATAGGTGTCTTCCTTATAAGGATATAGGTGTCTTCCTTATAAGGATATGGAAACCTCTCCGTAGACATGTTTTAAAAACCTTGAAGGAAAGCCCGAAAGGAACAACCCAAAGAGGTCAATATCTGCTAGTGGTGGGCTTGGGCCATTACAAATGGTATTAGAGACAGACATCGGGCAGCGTACCAACGAAGAGGCTGGGCCCCAGGGGTGGATTGTGAGATCCCACATCGGTTGGAAGGGGAACGAAGCCTTCCTTATAAGGGTGTGGAAAAGTTTCCCTAGTAGAGCACTTTATAAAACTTTGAGGGGAAGCCCGAAAGGTAAAGCCCAAAGAGAACAATATCTGCTGGTGGTGGGCTTGGGCCATTACAAATGGTATCAGAGACAGACATCAGGTAGCGTACCATCGAATGGGTCCCAAGGGGGGTGGATTCTGAGATCCCACATCGGTTGGAGGGGGAACGAAGCCTTTCTTATAAGGGTGTGGAAACCTCTCCCTAGTAGAGCGCTTTATAAAACTTTGAGGAGAAGCCCGAAAGGTAAAGTTCAAAGAGGATAATATCCGCTAGTGGTGGGCTTGGGCCTAACATGTGCTAGCCCATCCCTTACAAAACGTATAGTGACCTTGGCTTCCTTCAGATTCTCAAATTTGGAGAATGTCCATGGTTTTTCTCACAGTTTATCTTAAACCACTTCTATATTATACCCCAATATGGAAATGAGAAGATATTTAAACAAGAGGGGTTTCGTTGACACTTGAGTATTGGTAAATGAGGACAGAAACAGTAGCCACCGGAATAAAACAAGAAAACAGAAGTATAACTCAATTTGACAAACTAAACTGGGCTTACTAATTAATATAGTAACAAAATTTCTTGCCGCACTTGTTGATTCCATTGTTAAGTCAATAATATTTAGAGTAAGCTATTTACAATAAATGGAAATTCGACCACAAAAGATAGGCTAGGTAAGAACAAACAAATAGCATAATTTCCCAGCCAAGAAATCGAAGCATACCTTTAATGGTGCCCAGAAGCAACAGACCGACAAAAAAGGGAATGAAACGAATAAAACTCCATAGCCAAGACAAGAACCCCCTCGGAGGTTCCATTGGCGCCCTCAAACAATCCCTCGAAGATCTCAATGAAATCAAAGCAAGATCATCCCCGAAATCAACCTCAATCGAAGCACAAACCCTGTAGATTCAGTTCCCAAAATAATAACGGATTTGGTCGTTTGAACCGAGTGAAATCCTTTACGCGAAGACGTTTGAAATTAACAAAAAGAATGTGGGGGGGTTTTGGAATGGATTTGAAGCAGGAGAAGCAGTTAAAGAACCGTTTAAATGGGGCGCTTGAGTCAAGAACAATGAACACCGAATCGCTGAGCCAACTCTTTACTCTTGATCAAATTTGCAACGAAGCTACGTCGAGTCGTCGTATATGTTCTTGCATTGCTTGCTAAGGAAATGATTGAATATTTAAATTAAGTAATAATTTGTAGTTTACTTTCAAAATTTATATTAGAATGTATAACCTCCAAAGGACGGAAAACGTTCCTCCATCGTCGTGTCCTTGTATGAATACACGTGGAGGTCACAACCTACCGTCTTTTTACCTACCTAATCTACAAATGTTCGTATTATGCGTCAATTATGAACCTGCCTAAAAAAACAACGTAAATAGTTATAAAAAAAAATCATTATGTATGAGAAAATCTTCACCGTCGTGTCATTACAAATACGTGCAAATACAATGTAAAACTTTATAAATAGGTAAATTCATTTCATATGTCGATACGCAACTCGAATCTAATTGCTCGAGACCACCTTGATTTTGATACTGACTTAAGCATTCGAGCATGATGCTTAAAGCATCATATCCATGCGAGTTTCCTTCTTACAAGTGATTCTCGCTCCTTGTATTGTCACTTCGACAACTTGTTCGTGTGGGACTCGAACCATATTCTCGTACTAGTAATACATCGGGTTAACTTTTTTAATTTCAAATTTATAATAATTTACCCTTTAATATAAAAATATCATTAAATTAAATGTTATTATTATTATTTTGTAATTTATAAATATATTTGGTCTAAAGGACTGCGCAATTAAATATTTTTAAAAATAGACTAAAACAAAACAAATTCATTTAATTAATAATATTCAAAGGATAAGCTTTTCTTAAAGAAAATGGAGTATAAATATTTTTATAAAATTATTATATTATTTTTCTAATTTTTAATAAAAAAATATTCTAAAATCATGAGTCAAATCTACTTCTAGTCGATATTGTCCGCTTTGACTCGTTACGTATTGTCGTCAGTCTCACAGTTTTAAAATACGTCTCTTAGAAAGAGATTTTCACACATTTATAAAAAATATTTCATTTTTCTCTTCAATCGATGTAAGATCAAAATTGTTAAGCTGACGATGATACGTAATGAGCTAAAGATATTAAAATTATAAATAATAAAATGTATAGATTATATTTTAATGGTTAGTTCCAATTTATTTATTTATACCAAATTTCAGCATAGCTCAGTTGGTTAAAATATTGACCATGTCCCACCACATATCGTGGTATTAAAAAAAATTATTTTTTACGGTTTCGTAACAATTTTTAAAAGTAGTTATTGTCGAGTGGCACTGAAGTATATTAACGTGTCAGTACAAGCAAATCCTAGGCTCTTATTATTATATGTATATTGGTTGATAAGATAATAGCACCGACCAAAATAGTAATTTTTTTGGAAAGCTCGGGTCAAAGTAGAGACTTTAAAAAATACGAGGCTAAAATAGTTATTTTTTGAATAGAATATATTTAAAAGTTGGAGATAAAATGAGAAATTTTAAAATTATTAAAAATATATATTTAAAATCTAAAAGGAATAAGAAAAGAAGGAAGATGAGTTAAGATTCTTATTCTTTTCTTAAAAGATGAGGTTTTCCAATGAAGAATCTATATTTAATAACTGCACATGAAGATGAAAACCCAATCAAAGAATGACACGTCATGTTGGATTTTATACTTTTCTTATTCCTTAAATGTTAAATCCATTAATAAATAAATAAAAAGAAAAAATCTTTTTTACTAACCCTAAATAGCATCGACATTAGGAGTTTAAACCCTACAAACATATATATATATATATATATATATATATATATTATACTTTGTAAAAACATCCATTTTAGCTTAAAATCGAGTTGAATCAATTACATCCGTTTTAGCTTAAAACCAAGCGGAACTAAGAACATTAGTTTTAGCTTAAAACTGAGTCGAATCGATAACATCAGTTTTAGCTTAAGGCAGAGCTGAATCAAGAACATCAGTATTAGCTTAAAACTGAGCTGAACCAAGAACATTAATTTTAGCTTAAAATTGAGCTAAGCCAAAAACATCCATTTGAGTTTAAAATCGAGCCAAAACAAGAACATTAGTGGTAGCTTAAAATCGAGACGAACCAAGAACATCAATTTTAGCTTAAAACCGAAGCAAAACAAGAACATTAGTGGTAGGTTAAAATTGAGTCAAAGAAAAAACATCAGTTTTAGCTTAAAATCGAGCTGAACCAAGAACATCTGTTTTAACTTAAAATCGAGGCAAAGAAAAAACATCAGTTTTAGCTTAAAATCGAGTTGAACCAAGAACATCTGTTTTAACTTAAAACCGAGCCAAAGCAAGAACATCAGTTTTAGCTTAAAATCGAGCCGAACCAACTCGCTCTGTCTCCCATTATGGGCAATGATTGCAGAAATTTTCTGGGAAATACGTCTAATGGAAGAATCAATGTTCAAACAAGGCTGCTCAAAAGGGATTACACAGTCAAATACTCAACTCATTTATTAAAAGTTCTATGCCATTTCCAAGGGATCAGATCAAGAGACCTTTCAACTCTATAACATTTTATAAATAAAAAGGAAAAAGCTTCAAGTTCTCATAATCATTCATTGAAAATGTGGCTCTCTACACAACTAAAAAAAGTTTGACTTCCCACGTCGCTTTCGATTGCGTTTTTGAGCTCCATATACGCTCGGGGCGGATCAACAGAAGCCACAGGTTCCCTGGGTCGCTCAAAATAATTTCTCCACAAATCAAGAGATCGGAGTAATGACTAATGAGAGTTCATTGATTCGAATCGTTTGGCTTTCCCTAAGAACATCGACAGCTTTACGAACATTCTATAATAGTTGTAATCAGAATCTATGAACTCTTGTTCTTGTCGAGTGGCCGCGGCCCTTATAATCTTACATCAATGGAGGCTCCATGAACTTGAGAGGATTGAATTACTGCATCATAAATCTTAGAAGAAAAATTGAGACCCTCATCCTTAGCACTCAGGTATAACTCATAAGCCAGCCTTGGTTTACCTTCCTTTGCAAGGGCTTCAACGAGCAACTCGTAACTTACCTCATCCGGAGAGATATTTTGAGCTTTCATGCGGTGAAACCACTCGTAAGCTACACTGCTCATCCCGTTACGGACACATCCCGTAATAATCGCGTTGTATGTGACGACTGTTGGCTCAATGCCTGATGTAACCATATCATTGAGAGTGACTTCAACCATATTAAACTTTCCTTGGCCAGTGAAAATCGAAGTCATGGTTGTATAGGCATAGATGTTCGGCTCCACCCCGACTTTAATCATATGATCCCAGACGCTACGTGCTTCGTCGTAGAGTTTTCCCTTTTCGAGAGCGCTTAGTAATGCCCCATATGAAAGGACAGTCGGTTTTTCACCTTTTTCGACCATTCTCCTAAAGATATCTATAGCTGCCGACATTTCTGCAGCTCTGGAACAGGCAACAAGAACGGCGTTCCATTCCCGAATTCCGGGTTTAAGACCTTTCTCTTCCATTTTGTCGAGTAACCTAACGCCCCATCTCCAAATTCCTCGTTTCTTCGCAGCTGTGAGAAGAACATTGAAGTGAGAAACAATTAGTTCATTTGACAAGTTATTTGGTTTCGGTCCTTTCTCCAACAAATCTTCATAAATCTCCAATGCTGCCCACCATTTCTTAGCTTTCCCCATCAACCAAATCACATGATTACAAACAGATAAGCTTATACTACATTGCTTTTCTCTTATCCTGTAGTACAACTCTTTTGCTACATTATGGTGTTCGGCACACGTACAGGCCCAAATAAGTCGTTCTTCTTCAACATGATCAAGCGACAATCCCGCTTTATCCATTTCCATTAGAAGTTGCAACACCTTCGTGTTTGCAGGGTCGTCCTTCACAAGCCAAATCCTCATTACTTGGTAGCAAACACGTCTTGTAAACTTTTCGAGCTTCAAGAACTTGTCAGCCCAATCTACATTATCATCTTTCACTAACTCGCCATTACGATATCTTTCTCTCAACTCAATCATGAACTTTAAAGCGCCATTCCCATCATTCATCCTTCGGTATGCTTGTAACGCTGTAGAGTAGGACACAGGACACGGAGTTAGGCCTTTCCTCGGCATCTCTTCGAGAATGCCAAGAGCTTTTATAGCTAGTCCTTGTTCCAAGTAAATGGACATAATCGTATTGTACGTAACAACATTTGAAACGATTCCTTCCTGTGCCATATCAGTCAAGACATCTTCCATTTTCGAAAACTCTCTGGATTGCTTAACTGCACCGAGAAGACTGTTGTATATGAACAAGTTCGGCACAATACGGCCATTAGTTTCAATCTTCTTTTTCTTAAGCCATTCAACAAGAGCCACTGCACATTCCAACCTTCTGTTCCTCCCAAAACCTCTAATAATGGATGAGAACACTTGAAGAGGCAATACGCCGACATCCTTGAGAAGCTCCTCAACATCATCCGCCGTTCGAGCAAGCTGCAACCGACGTGCTAGTGCACGAACATCGACCCTAACATCTCCCTCTCCCTCCATTCCTTCCTCGTCTTTAAAATTTCCTCTTCCATGGCTATTTTCACTATCAACATTGCCAGGATCATATACATCCCAATCTAAACTACTCTCAGGCAAATCATCTCTAGAATTTGATTCAACCCTAGCAATTTCATCATCAATCGTTGGTTGTTCAACAGCCCAAGCAAATAAAAACCAAGCCCCAAGGGAATTCCTCTTCGGCTTCATTAATGGAGCAACTCTAAGCTTAGAACAGCCATGGCGGAACTCACGGATACATTCAAATCTCGAAGTCTCGCAACAAAATCCACTTCTCAAAACACTCAAATTAAAGGAAATCAAAGAGAAATTCCCATTTCCATAACAACTATCAGAAAACCCAACACAATTTATTCTTTTCCATGACCTATGAACTACAGAATAAGAACCTAATTCAACGCCGGAGCTACTAATTGGATACCAATTACTATGAACAAGCATTGTCTATAGAGATCAACAATAAATAAATAAAAAAAAAAAAAAAAAGATAAACCCAGAATTTGAACGCCAATGAATTTCAGAGTCTTATGGATGATTTCCCATTACAACCCAAAGTTGAAAAGAGAAATGAAGAACAGAATTACCTTTAAGAGATGTCCGTCAATGGATGCACTCCATTTTTGAACTGGCTATGAGAGGATTGAAGAGAAAAATCGATACGAGTGCGGATTTGTTGAATGGGTTTTTGGATAATATGGATTTTGTTCGTCTTCTCGCAGTCACTCGATTGGAAGTGAAGGTTAAATTTCCAAATTCACAGCCATCATATTTAAGGTGAATTCTATTGTTTTTAAGTTAAAATCAATAAAAAAAAAAAAAAAAAAAAAA